ATATATATATATATATATATATATATATATATATACACATATATACGCAATATATATTTCGTTATTGCATATATATTTATATATACACATATGCACCTTGAGAATCCTCGAACTTTTTTTTAATACTTTCGATCATTTTCTTTCATTCTAAATATCTTTCAAATCAATTGTTTGAAACGATAAAAATTTCAATTTATGATAAAACTCGAGGATAATGAGGTATTCAAGTTAAAACGATATAAGGAACAAACCTCTTTACTACTTTGAGAAAATGTACTATGGTGTGCATCAGAATGATCGCCGTTTACAGTATTTTCCCCTGAAACATAACGTGAGAAATATCATACATTGTTAAGAAAATTCACCTAGTGAAGTGAGAGAAAAGAAAAGAAGGAAAAATACTATATGAAATGTATGTTCACAATTGAATAAGTATTTTTAGTGTGCAAGTTAGAATTTTGTTAGGAATCGTCGATATCATAATAGTCGCTTACCTCAAAAATGAAAACCAAAGTTTGATTCTTGTTTATTCCTTCGAATATTTCAAATATGATCAACAATAAATAGAATAATGTTCAATGATGTTCAAATGATTTGTTTTTAGCTTTTATATCTCATTGCTTATATGAAAATTGTTTATTTCTCACAACCTTAATATATCTTGCATACAAAACACGTACTTCTTAGTAAATGTAAAAAATTAAAAAAAAAATTAAGAAACTAAAGATAGAATATGTAAGCTATCAAGACAAGAACAATGCGCACAATACAAATATGAACGGTTAAATAAACGAAAATTAACATATAAATATAGTTTTATAATTTCAGTTTTGGCTTTGAATCTATAAGATATGTACTATATACGATACAATCTCCCATTGTAAGCTGGTGAAACTATAAATAAATGAACGATGAAAGTTTTAATAAATAAATAAATATGATAAATAGTAATTTGATAAATAAAACAATCTCTTTGGTTTATAGCAAACAGAAGCAGAAATAGAAACAAAAATTTTGGGAAAGCATTTTTGAAATAAAACTGAATTCTAGTATTGATTTATAAAGCTAAATTCTAGTATTGGTTTTCTTAATCGATTTAAACTCCGCTGAACGCTGTATTCAAAATGGACTATGATTGTTTGTTGGAATCATTTCAGGAGAACATGCGTTATTGATACTTTCTAAACTACGATTAGACAATTCTTTATCATTTACGATTTCATCGGAATCACAGCATATATAAGTATCATTGAGTCGATTTTCTTCAACTTCTGCATTGTCGTTTATGTCATTTCCCTCCAAAAATTTATGCCAAGACTCCTCTTCGCCTATAGTTGATAACGAAGAACATCCTTGATCGTAATCATAAATATAAGAATTTACACAATGAGTACTATCAACAGGTATTTCTACAGACATAGAAGTCTCTGGTAGTTCCATTAATTTGTCTTTTTTTGAAGCAATTTCGGGCAAATTAAAAGAGTTTGTATTCCAATTTATGTTAACGAGATTATCAAGACTTACAGTTGGCTCAAACTCAACTTTCTCCTGCTCGTGCGATCTTTTATTTTCAATGTTATTAACACCAAAATTTCTCTCTATTCTGAAATTCAATTCATATGCTTTTTCATTAGTATTTATTGGTTTCGCCTTCACTATTGTATGAAATTCGAAAATTGCGTCTGATTCCGTCGTGTCATCCACTTCTGCCACCGTTTCAACAAATTGATTATTTTCCTCTAAAACCAAATTCTCAAAAGGAGTAACAGTCGATGCAACTTGTAGGTCAGATGCTGTTTCCAATTCGTCACTATTTATCATTACTGGAAAATCGTCAATTTGCTGCTCGATTCCTTCTCTTTTGTTACTAATATCGTTGTTTTCTTTTTCTTTCAATTCTACGTTTGCACAGGTCTTTGCTTTTTTAATTTCATCGCATGCATCGTACACATGGTGAATAACCTCGTGTACAACGACAACAGGTGTAGTTTGATTAGTCTGATATTCTTTGGCTACTTGGTCATCATCTTTTACATCTAAGCATAGTTTTGAAATTGAGCGATGTCGAGAAATTGTAGACGATAACGAATCACGTGGATCATTTAACTCTATACTTGAGACAATGTCATAAACTTTTTGAAATATCTCGTTTACTAAACAGTAAATAGCTATATATGTGTCGTTCACGTTAAGTTCTGCAATAACTTCATTCGCCATATTGCTTATGTCATTCCGAAAGTATTCTTCAGTACTTTCCAACAATTCTAAAACCGCGTTAGTGGACAGTTCTAACATATCAGATCCTTCATTCGAATGAATTTCAACTTGTCCGTTATCAAAACATATATCGTTATTCATAGTTTTGTTATCTTTACAGAGGTCGTACTTTTCACTATCAAACAACGAATCAAACCAAATATAATTGTCAATTTTCTCATCTACGCAATCTTTTTTATTCCATCCATTTTTAAGACTTTTCTCTTCGTTTGATTGCAAAAAGCAATTTTGATTCAGATTAGAATCGTTAGAGTCTGGTATAACTGTTGTTAACTTCGACGTTTCATTTAAAATCATTTTATCAACACCCTCATGATCATCTGAATTCATATATGGAGTCAAACTGTATATTAAATTCATATCGTTAGGATTTAAGCTATACTTTGTTGAGATTTTAACTTTAGGATGGAACAAAGTGTTTAATTTTGTTTTTATTGACGGAATATTTGAATCAATATAACTCGCTATTTCAGTAATCTGTTCCATAGAGTTCGTATCAACAAATATCAAATTCGTTTTTTCATTTCTATTTCTTTCTTTCATTTCTTCATTAGAACACGCAAAATTCAATGAATTTTCATTATTTTTCAATTTCAGTGACTTACGAACTTTGGATTTTCCTTTATCATTCAATTCTTCTTGTGATTTTTTATTTTCAGAGTTAATTGAATTTGAAATTTCTTCAAGAGCATCTTCCATGTAATTTATTTGCTCATCAATTAACATAACTGGAGGATAAGGACAGTAGTCAATTAATTTAGTTACTAGTCGCTCTGCGATTATGTCACTTCGAACAATTTCTAAACGCGGCTCGTATGGATATTGTTCAGCAACTGGATAATGACAGTACTTATGAATAATACAGGCATCGCTTCCAAACTTGTTCTCATATTCATTCTCGGTTTGACTGCAGTACCTGCTCGGTGAACCAGGATCTGCAACCACATTGTCCAAAAACACCACAGCTGTATTTTAATATTTGCTCCTTTTGTTTACTTTCTCTTTTTTATGGATTATGATCACGGATGCTCACACCTGCGTATCTAAGAAATTTATCGTATTCGCAACAGCTGGGAAAATAAATAGCAAGGCACCCAAAAGTCTATATAAACTGTGAAATCGAACAAATTGTGATTCGAGTATATGATGTCAGTCGAGACAAATTGATTCCTTGAGAATCATGTCTGTCATTATTATGCATAAGTTGATCACACGGTTTTTTTTTTAAATAGTTGTAAATTATGGTGGAGAATGTAACGAGAACTTAATATTATTTATTAATACGATGCAAGGTAATTAATGTGTAATGCAGGATAAAAATAGAAAAAAAGGGAGAAAATGTGGAGGAAACATTTATATTCATGTACCAAATACAAATATCCAAAATATTTATGCAAATGTACAGCCATGCAAGGTGCAAGCGTTAGTGATCATAAAGGTGATAAATTAAGGTAAGGAAGAAATGCAATGGCAAATTGCAAAATCTTCATGTTTATGGAACAAGTCTTGTAATATGAAATATATTTCATATAAATACAATATTATAAAACACGTACAAAGCAAAAGGAAAAGCTTAAATATGACTTCAAACAAGACTTTCCATATACATATATATTATTGAACATGCATACTATACATTCCTTCGCTCATTTTCAAAATACTTTTGTTTTTATGAAAATGATCGATTTAAAGTGCACAGGATTTAGGGACTAAAAATTGTGAAAAATAATTTACCGTCACTTAATACAACTTCAGGCTGACTTGGTGCAGGCACTTGTTTCGTTTCTATTCGTAGTACTCGGGGTTCTGTACAACAATTGGAAAACAATACATTGATTGAATGATTCTTCAACTCTCAGATAAAAATAAAATACAAGTACCACGTGAGAATCTTTTGTTATTTACCATCTCTGCTCTCCTCTTCTGTTTCCGAAGTTACTGATACTGGTGACTGAATGGGACTTTTGGCAGTGCTTGATTCGTGTGTTGCGCGACTAACATTGAACGATGACAATGCTTCCGATTCTGATTGCGATTCATCGTCTGTAAAATAAGAAAGGCAAACAAAGATTAAATTTTCTTATATGTAAATTTTTAACAGACGACAGGTTTATGTGCTATTCTGCTTACAGATATCTCCTTTTTGTTTACGTTCAATTTCTCTCTTATACTGATCGAGTTCTTGATCAGTAACAGCATCAAAAGGATTTTTGGCATACGGTGTTTTGTAAACCATTGCATTGTGTTGAAACCCTCTTTGAATGATACCTTTACTAGCAGCCCCTACTAACACTACTTGTTCTCCTGTTCCGCTAATAGTAGCATCCTTTTATAAGAAAATGTTTTTATCAATATATATTTTATTAAAATAGTAAATTAATGAATTATTGTAACGTTATTTTTCTGTTGCTATCTTAAAAAAATGTCACATCACCTGCATCTTTTTAGCTTCTTCCCATGTAACTCCTTCTAGTATATGGGATTGTGGTCCAGCTGATATTTTGTCCGCCCTACGGTAATCCTTTATCTAAACAAAAAAGGCATAGCTCCAAGGGTTTGATCAGTTTGCAAATACAAAATATTTAGATATTGTTTGATTAAATTAATTTAAGAAATTCACGTAAACTATATCAAATGAGATTTCACGTTACTTACCTGTTGTTGTATTTGTTTAAATTCCTTTGGATTGGTATTTTTCGGTACAAATTGAAGGGCACTGTCGATCTTCACCGGTGTACTGCTATGGGTCGGAGATCCGTCTGTCACCCACTGCACACAAAACCAGAACGTTAGTCGACCCTCATCGATAATTCGACATCCAACACAGCATTATAAGATACGTATTTCCGCATTGTCTGCGTATGTTATGTGTGCCTGCTTTGCTGGTGATGTCGTCTTATTATTTCATTAATCAACTTAAATGCATAAGCACATTATGCTGTGACATTTTAAATCGTTCATCGGTCGAGTTCAAGTACAAATTATTTTTTTATTAATTTACCTATTGTTCTTATAACATTCAAAAATTCTCGTACCTATTTTCATCTACATCTATATCTATTCCTATTATTAATAATATTCTTCGGGCGTTTCGTATTTATCTCTCCTCCGATCTAGGGTCGATCGATCTGGTTTTGTAAATGCAGTGGGACGAAGAGTTGAATATCCATTCCTTCGACGACACGATTTTAACAGGCACACATTCATACACAGTTTTGAATGTGAATCAATCAGATGATATCCATATAGATCATATGGTTACATCATTAACAATGTTAAAATGCCATAAACTCGACAAAATGCTCGAGAATACGGCTATTGTTTATAGAACCAATCATCAAAATATAAACATACTTTAATAAGATTCTTTCTATTTCTTTCTCGTATTTTTATATATATATATATATGTGTATATTTTTATACATGCTGTCACGCTGTTATAAAATGAAGAAAAGGAACTTTTTTTTCGAAAAATTACCTATACACGATAAACAGTAGACATATATTTATTTATATATCAATAAGCTACAAGAGAGAGGTGCAATAAAGTTCTATTATAATTTTAATAGATCCACCGAAAGATGCACAATATCATAGCAACATTTATTTAAAACTACATTTTATATTAGTAGTAAGCAGATCGTTGGGACTCTATTATGTAGGTGCTCCTTTTTTTTCTTTAAAGTCAAATAGTTGTACTCCCCTCCCCCTCTCTCTTTTTTCCCTTTCTTTTTGTATGGATTTCACAATCTATTTTCTACTACAGTATTACAAATTGGAATGTATCGAAGGTACGTCAATATCACTACGGAGATTAACGAATCTAATCTAATAATTGAACAGGAATCATGAACTTTTAATTTCAATTAATTTTCATGTAAAATTTCTTTTCATTGTCCTTTGAATATAGTATATTAGAAGAGAATAATGGACAACATGAAATATGATTCATTTTTTCTCATTCCAACAAAAATAAACAATTTCTTTGAAAACGAATATGATTTCTTTCCTTATAATTATTAACGATGATAATTACGTTTTGATAAATAACTTTATAGAAGATTATAAATGTAACAACATGTGCATGTAAAATATCAATCTTAATAATATGAATGCAAATTTTGACATCAATTTTTTAATTATTATTACGTGTTACTTTTTTAAATATTTTGCAAGATTATTCTAATTCTTGCGCAAATTTCATCTTGCTTTTCGCACAGCATTTTTTTTACTTTTCTTTATTTGCTGCCTTTGTATGTTTTAAGCACGCCGTTATCTATTCAGTTTTGTTCTCAAAAGTGATGACTTCTACCTTTGTAATTTTCTTCGGATCAGGGGTTCCTGTTTCAAGTATTTCAACTTTTTGATATACATTGGGTGAATTCAACCAACGTGACCTATCTGTACCTTTACGACCACCTTTCCAGAGCCTATAAGAAAAATGAAAGTGTAACGTAAAGCTTCCTCTGATAATTACGAATTACTTTTATATAACATATAAAATATTTACCCTTGTTTGTAAAGTTCTTCTTCTTCGAGTAAATATCCTAAAGACGAGACTGCAGGTGGTACTTCAACATCGTTTCGAGGCCGCGGAAGTTCTCCTTTCACTAGTGGATTTCTGTATATATAGCCAGTACGGAAACCCTGCACAAACAAGTTAAACAAAACGTTAGTTATTATAGAATAAATAAATGAAAGTAAAA